AAATGTCCATACACACTCTTAGATATTACGGTCCTTAGAGTGCTTTTTTTAACACATGCAGTAAAAAGTTGCTCAGGAAGAATATAAATAGTCATTTCAAGCGAAATTTGAAAAAGAGCTCACCGAGACCATCTCAGATTTTAATGCAATTTTGAATGCAGAGTCGCACATGTCTTAAAGGAATATGGTGATGTTGTAGCATCGTATGTGAAAAAGTTTTTGAAACGGGGGTTTGTTTGACACCGTACAGCGTCGACGTATAGAACGACTAATCGATTTTCGCTTCTTTGAGAAACAATATTTTCTTCTCCGTCTTTACTAAAGAAATTAAACTGACCTTACTTGAACAAGTTTTTTTTCTTTACAAAGGAATTAATACAAATTTTTCATGCGTTAATTTACAGTTGGTAAATTGTAGCAAAATGATTAGAGATATCAAAGAAACGTAATGATATTTTTAAAGTGTATTATATTTCATACTCTTTATAATGTTTTAAAACTAAATTCTTCAAACATCTTCATCAAAGAAGCCTTGCGAACTGATGGGTCTACTTAGACCTTTTTTATTACTCACTGCTGAGTATTTACTTTTTTTAATCTTGGAATATATTTCCAAGAGTTGTCAAAATAATTAACTTTGAGAGTAAAGCATTTTCGGCTTGAAAAAAATCTTTTAAAATTATGGATATTGTACTTAATTGTAAATCGACGTCAAGGCAATATCTTCCAATTCTTACTTTAACTGCGAGCATTGTACGCAAATAAATCCATATTTCTAGGGACTTCAAAATACTGTCTTATGAGATACGTTTTGAACAATTACCAAAGAACTTGCCTGTAAACACTTAATTCCGAAGAAATGGCAAAAGTTATGATATTGAAATTTTGCATTGATAAACAATGGTATATTATGAGATAACTTTCATGTTTTTTACTCAATGTTAAGGAAGCTATTCAAGGTTAAAGTCTAGAATAAGTTTTACAAGCAAGCTCTGTTTCCATTTCTTTGTCAATAACGGAAAAGGAAATGTTGATTCTCAAAGTTAGCGAAAACCCAATGGACGTACTGTACAATGACGCTGCAATGAGTAAAGCCGCTGTATCTAAAAAAAATATTGCACCTATGAAGCTAAAATACACAAACGTTCCTTTGTGTATTCATGTGGGACTCGGCATACAAAATTCCAGGTCTCGCGGGACACTTTTCAATAATTAGCTTGAAATTTTTATTTTTATTCACCTTCCCAACTTTTTACTTCACGTGTTCATGAAATTCGCTATCCAAAAAACGGTACGAGATATCAAAAATTGTATATGGACATTGATTAAAGAATGCGCTATTATCTTTAATTTAAAACAGGCTAACGGACCAAGGGTTATAGAGATAATTGTCAAAATTGTTATTTTCCGCCATCTTCAATGATGTCTCAAGATTTGCCCGACCCCAACTTTTGGTGGCGCACTGCACTTCTACGTGCACCAAGGTGTCATAATTAAGAATCCAAAGAGAAACAGTGTCCGAAAAGTTTTGCATACTCTTGCGCCACTACAGCCTGCTTTATATGGCAAGGCATGTAAGCGCTATCTTGAGATTGCAAAAGCTTAAAGCAATCTAAACGCAAAATAACATTCGCGAGGGGAAGTTTAGCTTTTAACTTTCATCACTTATGAGGTGTTATCATCTGCAGTTCTTCTAATGTCACCTTTATAGTTCCTGTACTTTCCCTCATATTATTCAACTTATATAACCATCTTTACAAAAAGACTTCTAAAAACAGTCCAGTGCAGTTACGTGAATGATATCACCCCAGGAGAAGCACAATTGATCTAAGAGTATACGCAGTGTCAATGGTAATAATTCTTTTTCTGAAAGCACGGGAAAATACATTTGTTGATCATCAAAATATCCTAAATTATTTCTACACTTCGGTTACGCCTTCTGTAAGATGTTGACTACCCCAAGCCCAAAGTGAGCTTACGTTCTTTCGCTACTCGCAGTTTTACTATTCCATACCCAGATATTGAATCCTTTACTGAATTTGATACAAGTTTGTAATTCAGAAGTAAAAGGTTGTGAAACATATACGAAGAAGAGAGCTTAGCTCATACCTATTGTATGTCCGGAATTCATAGTTGAGAAAACTAAACGTGAAAGTTTACTGAACTTGGCATTTACTTAACTGAGCATTAAATATTACAACCAATAGTTGGAATCCATATGCAATTTATATCTAATTGCATATCTACCAATTAAACAATAATGTAATTTTATAAATAAAGAGTTCATAGTAATTCAAATACATGTATTAGGACAATAGTTGACAATGATAGTCAATAACAATAATTTACAGTACAACTATTGTATGCCCTACAAACATTTTTTATTCAATAATTACATGCGGTTGGCCAATTAGACCCCTGACAGTAATGAAGAACAAATTAATAAATTAAAATAAAATATTTAGTATGTGTAAGCAAAGCATTCACTGATGTTTTTCAATGTGATGTTTTTTTTATAAGATGAATGTGTTAAAGCCTGGAACCTCAAAAATATTTTATGTTTATAAATGTTAATATTTTTTATTCAATTTTTGTGTTTTAGAAAACTTTACTTGTTTGCTCGAAGTAGGGATCTCGCTGCGACATGGTACAAAATATGTAATATTTTTATAATTCTTTGTAAAATGACACTAATATATTGAATAAAGCAGAACTGTAATGGATTAAGGGGAGAAAGATGCCAGTATCTTAAGCATGTTAATTTCATATTTATATGGAATCATACAGAGAGCAATTTCGCTGAAAGTTAATTTTTATCTAATTCAGCATTCCAACTTTAATTAATGAGAAGCAGCACAGTAAACTGATATTCAAAACTAAAAAAAGCACACAATATATAACTTGATGAGGAAGTTTATGCGTCATTAAATCGCTAAAAAGGTACAGACATCAGTAAAGATGTAGTATTTCTGAAGATACAAAATCTATAATCCCAAAATTAAAATGACAGTGAAGTATACTCGAACATTCGCAAATCAAAAGGTTTTCACGAGACTTACATCTGAATACTAATGATCGTCACCAGATGGTGACTTACAATCTTTGCGTAGGGGGGAGGGAGCACTCAAGACACACAATCTTCATACATAGGTAGATATGAATGAGATACCTTAAAAAATTATACTACCTCCAACATTATCGCGAGTGGACAAAGCAATGTTCGTGCATTAAGCCATTGATGATATATACCACCGGAGAAAGCGGAAAGACCAACAGCGAGTGGACGACGAGCTTACGTCACTGCGGCCGTTGTGGAAGTAGGTCCGGGTGGGTGACTCTGACGGGTGGGGGGAAACGGGGGCGGAGGCAGAACAGCCGCATGCCCAATAGGCGTTATGAAAACAGCTCACGCGGAAACAACATCGCCAAAGGGAATAAAGACAATATTTAGACATATATTTAACTATTACAAAATAACAGGAATTGAACTCGAGAGGGATTGTAGCTAATGAACCACTTGGGAATCGGCATAATATTCTTATTGCAGAAAAAATGTATTACAGAGCTGTGCAATTACTGTGCCTCGTTTATATCATGTTACTACAATTAATCGCCTACAACAGAATCGAATATACGTTAAAAACATCCCAATGAAAGAATCGCAAACTAAATTCAGTGTAGCCTATGCGCAGAGCCAAACATGAGAGGCAATGAATCGACGTGTTTTTATTAACCTCTACTTTAGCAGACGAACTTCGTGCTGGTCGTACCACGGAGTTAGCTACGGACTGGACTAGCTTCGCTGTACCCAGTCAAATAAATGTGGACGATGGAGCTGAGGAAATCGCTATACGTCAGGACCATATTGATGTGGAGTAACCAGAACAGTTTCTGCGAAAGGCGAGTGTGATTCTTATGGTTATTACAATTAGCCGCGGACCCCTCTAGTCCTCAATGGAAGGCAGGGGCAGGGGAAGATGACGCCCGCTGAGCACGGGGACGCGACACCACCACATCCTATTTTCCATTAATTTAGTGTTCATACGAAATGCGTTATATCGTTCTAATTCTCTTTTCACCGTATTCTCGAAACTACCAGCAAATTATACCGCAGAATGAGCTATGCACGTGCCATGCTTAGTTTGGCACAATCACGATCACTGTTTTCATGTTTCAATATACTTTTCTTCTAATTTCTGGCAATAGTGCAATGATGAATAGTACATAACATGGTTGTAAATAAGTTATATTCAGAAGTATTCACGATTTTTGTAGAGTGGTCAAACGGTTGTAACAAAGTTAAGAAGGTGATTTAATGTGTATTCCAACAAGTAGAGAGTTCACAAGGGCTCAGGAGCCCTTTAAGTTTAAGGTCTCAAGAAACGCCGACTGATTAGGTGGAGCACTCAGTGATTTCGCATCCTCCGACGTGCACTATAAATGCACACGCACGTGCACATGGAAGCGGAAGCACAAGACAAGGGGTGTCCATGTGATACTCGGGATAGGGAGACTCGAGACGGGACGGGACGTGACGCGACTCAGCTCCGCCGTCGAACCATTGTGCCGCTTGGATCAGTCATCTCTGTCCAATACGCAACACACGTCACACTACACGAGCCAAGTTGCAAGCACATTGGTAGCCTCATCGCGTCGTTTCCTTCTTCTTCAAAATTCGTTCCCCACATTCAGTCTTCTACGTGCACATTTTGTACTTAGGAGTCACATTTCACTCTCATGTGGTAGGTATTGCTTATAATAAAACATACTGTTTTTGTGAGAAACATCAACTGAATTTTAGAAACTAGAGGTAGGACGATACTCATTTAACAACGAAATAACGACACACATTGAAAGTCGGCGGAAGAAAAACGATTTGTTTCGCAAACAAGGCGTACCAGAACTTAATTACGTAAACACGTCGCCACCGCTGGTCTTTAAAGCATATCGCGCGGCATGCGCCACTCGCTGGACGCGTTGCGCTGGGCCCCGTAGAGGACTTACGCGACGAGGCCTCCGAGGAAGGCGACGGGGCCGCCGCCCAGCAGGCGGATCTTGCGGTGGCACGAGTCGAGCAGCGACAGCCGTGCGCCGCCCGCCGCCGCCGCCGCCGCGGGCAGCTCCACCACGGCCGTCGTGGCCACCGCTGCGTGGTGCGGCGACCCGAGCAGCGATCTCAGCATGCCGCCGGCGCTCCACGCCGTCCGGGTGCCACCGCTGCCTCCTTCGCCTCCGCCCACGCTGCTGCCGCCGCCGCCGCCCCCGCTCCCGCGCGCGCCATCGTCTCGCAGCAGCCCCGTCGTCGTGGTTGACCAACGCGTGTCGCCTGCGTCGTCGCCGCGTCGCGACTGCGGCCCCCGCACCGCGCCGCGTCAGGCCGCGTTGCAGCGCCCCATAGCTTGAGCCGCCCGCCGCCAGGAGCGCGCGCAATGGCGCAGACCCCGTCCCGCCCCTCCGTGCCCCGCAGCAGCGCGCTTTCTAGCGCGCCGCCTTGCGTCAACGCGGCGCTGCGCCGCCCAGCCAAGCGCGGCCTGTCCAGCGCGCGTAGAAATCGCGCGAAAGCAGAGCGCCGCCCGCACCGACGTCGTTTTCCCCTCTGCCGCTGACGTAACACCTTCCTCCTTCACCTCGTCGTCCTTTCGCATCGCCGCGCGCAATTCAGCATCAAAACTGAGGTTAGATTCTATTATTTCTCCACGCATGTGCTTTATGCTAAACCCATTAATAGAATCACCACTTTTCAATAATTTCTATAAAAAAGGTTAATAAAATATCTTCTAGGATTAAAAAAACAATTTCTTTTCAATTATTACTTGTTCCATTTCAAATATTCCTTCCATATCTTTCATGATCATACGTGACAATCAGATATGGATTGTGATGGAAATTAAAGCAATTTGATGCCAACTTTTGTCAAGAATGTCCACGTTTTTAGGTGTACAGTTGTTTCAAACTATAACAAAATAGGTAACGATTCCGCGTTGAGAATACATAAGTGATAAGTGCAGTAAAAACATTAGCATTGGAACATAAAGTTTGAAACATTACCGACATACGGAAGCAATTCACAGCACATTACATTATCGTTATCCCTTGCTTAAGAAACACACGGCTTAAAATAAAGTTCAAATAACTTAATAACTAAAACACAAGAAAGAAGTACTACGAAGAGTATTGAAAGAGAAACATTTCAAACGTTCAGTGAGCAACGTGCATTACGATTACTTGGCCCAAAACATACTTTTAGGTGAAAATAAGAGAAAATTCTTTGGAAATAATCTTTCAACAAGGAACAAAGAAGTTTAAAAGGGGAAATGGGTGGGTAATATATATATATATATATATATATATATATATATATATATATATATAT